ATTATATTGTCATTTTTATGGCTGAATAGTATTCCATTGTATAAAAATACCACATCTTCTTTATCCAGTCATCTGTCGATGGACATTAAGGCTGTTTCCATGTCTTGGCTATTGTAAATAGTATTGCTATGAACATTGGGGTGCAGGTGTCTTTTTGAAGTAGGGTTCCTTCTGGGTTATGCCCAGAAGCAGGATTACTGGGTCCTATGGTAAGTCTATTCCTAGTCTTTTGAGGAATCTCCATACTGTTTTCCACAGTGGCTGTACCAAACTGCATTCTCACCAGCAGTGTAGGAGGGTTCCCTTTTCTCCACAGCTTCTCCAGCATTTGTCATTTGTGGACTTTTGAATGATGGCCATTCTGACTGGTGTGAGGTGATACCTCATGACAGTTTTGATTTGCATTTCTCTGATAATTAGTGATGCTGAACATTTTTTCATGTGCCTATTGATCATTTGTATTTCTTCCTTGGAGAATTGCTTGTTTAGGTCTTCTGCCCATTTTTGGATTGGGTTCTTTGTTTTTTTCTTATTATGTCATATGAGCTGCTTATATATTTTGGAGATCAAGCCTTTGTCAGTTTCATCTTTTGCAAATATTTTCTCCCATTCCGTAGGTTGTCATTTTGTTTTGCTTATGGTTTCCTTTGCTGTGGGCAGAAGCTTGTAAGTTTAATTAGGTTCCATTTGTTTATTCTTGCTTTTATTTCTATTGCTTGGGTAGACTTTCCTAGGAGAACATTTTTGAGATGTATGTCATCTAATGTTTTGCCTATATTTTCTTCTAGGAGGTTTTATTGTATCTTGTCTTATGTTTAAGTCTTTGATCCATTTTGAGTTTATTTTTGTGTATGGTGTGAGGGAGTGTTCTAGCTTCATTGAGTTACATGCTGCTGTCCAGTTTTCTCAACACCATTTGCTGAAGAGACTGTCTTTATTCCATTGTATGTTCTTGCCTCCTTTGTTGAAGATTAGTTGACAAAAGTTTGTGGGTTCATTTCTGGGCTCTCCATTCTGTTCCATTGGTCTATATGTCTGTTTTGTACCAATATCATGCTGTTTTGATTACTGTAGCTCCGTAGTATTGCCTGAAGTCTGAGAGAGAGTTATTCCTCCAGCCTCTTTATTTTTCTTCAGTAATGCTTTGACAATTCTAGGTCTTTTGTAGTTCCATATAAATCTTATTATGATTTGTTCTAGTTCTATGAAATATGTCCTGGGTAATTTGATAGGGATTGCATTAAATCTGTAGATTGCCTTGGGCAGTGTGACCATTTTAACAATATTGATTCTTCCAATACAGGAGCATGGGATATCTTTCCATTTTTTAAGTCTTCTTTAATTTCCTTCATCAGTGTTTTATAGTTTTCTGTGTATAATTCTTTCACCTCCTTGGTTAGATTTATTCCCAGATATTTTATTACTTTGGGTGCTATTTTAATAGGGGATTGTTTCTTTACTTTCTTTTTCTGTTGATTCATCATTAGTATACAGAAATGCAACTGATTTTTGAACAGTAATCTTGTAGCCTGCTACCTTGCTGAATTCTTCAATTATTTCTAGTAGTTTTTGTGTGGACCTTTTAGGGTTTTCTATATATATTATCATGTCATCTGCATATAGTGACACTTTCACCTCTTCTTTTCCAGTTTGGATCCCTTTTATTTCTCTCTTTTGCCTGATTGCTGTGTCTAGGACTTCCAAGACTGTGTTGAATAGGAGTGGTGAGAGTGGGCAGCCTTGTCTTGTCCCAGATTTTAGTGGGAAGCTTTTGAGTTTTTCACCATTGAGTACTATGCTGGCTGTAGGTTTGTCATATATAGCTTTTGTTATGTTGAGATATGTTTCCTCTACACCCACTTTGGTGAGAGTTTTTATTATAAATGGGTGTTGAATTTTATCAAAAGCTTTCTTTGCATCTGTTGAGATGATCATGTGGTTTTTGTCCTTTTTCTTGTTTATGTGATGTATTACATTGATTGATTTGCATATGTTGAACCATCCTGTGTCCCTGGGATGAACTCCACTGGATCGTGGTGTATAATCTTTTTTATGTGCTGTTGGATTCAATTTGCTAATATTTTGGTGAGGATTTTTGCATCTATGTTCATGAGTGATATTGGTCTGTAATTCTCTTTTTTGGTAGTGTCTGCCTGGTTTTGTTATCGGTGATGGTGGCTTCATAGAATGAGTTAGGGAGTATTCCCTCCTTTTCAGTCTTCTGGGAGAATTTGAGAAGGACTGGTATGAGTTGTTCTTTGTATGTTTGGTAGAATTCCCCGGTGAAGCTGTCCAGTCCTGAATTTTTATTTGTAGGGAGGTTTTTTTTTATTGCTAATTCGATTTCATTTCTAGTGATCGGTTTGTTCAAGTGGTCAATTTTTTCTTGGTTCAGCCTTGGTGGACTGTATGTTTCCAGAAGCTTGTCCATCTCCTCTAGGTTATTCAGTTTGTTTCCATGTAGTTGTTCATATCTTAGACTTTGTTTTGAATATGCAAGCACTATTGCTCAGGGTATCTCATGTGATCAAGCCAGATGCCATTTCCTTGTATGAAAATCATTAATTTTACAAAAGGAGCAAAAAATTTTAAGCTGTAAGTAATTAATAATTACTTTAAAAATTGCTCACTTTCTAAAAGATAGTAAAAAAATTTTAGAAGATTTTAATTTATACTGAAATTTTTATAAAACAATTCTTCATCAGAATGCCAAAAATTCTCTTGCTTAATATATTATTATAGTATCTAAGGTTTTAAAATTAAGGAGAATGGGGATGTTTATATTTTATACCTTAGACAGTTTTTTTTTAAACACTATTGAGATTTGAATGTCTAAACAGGATGGTTATTTTTCTCTAAGGTTATGATACATGATATGTATACATTAAACTACCTGCTAGTCAAATCTAGTTCACAGTCATAGCATATTTTTAAATCACTCTCTACGTTAGTTAATTAGAGGCTGTGGACCTGTGAAATCCCACAGAAGTCATTTTGCTCTATCTTCTTTGTCCAGCCACCTCCACCTTGAAGCCTTCTTGGAACACTCTACATAAGTTGATCCCCCTGACTCATCTTATTACTTGCCAGCACCTGGCAAGGACCTGCCATGATGAACATGTGCAATAAGCATTTGGTGAATGAATGAAAACCTTTGCCTCCTTAACTGAATGGAATGTATTCCTGGTCCCAGATGACTTCAACTTGCACCTTGAGTTTCTAAGATCACCTGGACTAGGAATGACTCTATCATTTTTTTTTAAATTGTAGCTTATCATAATCGAAGGTTTTGCAAAGCCTAGGCAATTGGCTTTTTTGGGTGAAAATATTAGAAAAACATTTTTTAGAAACAAAATTGAACATAGACACTAACAAGTTATATTTAGTGTTAACTTGTAAAAAGTTCTATTTTTACAGGTTTGAGCAAGTCACATTTGAAGCATTTTCACAGACAGGTGTTTCTTAATTCAAAGTAAAAAGGAACATTAAAAATTTCCACTTTGCCCCCAGATAACTGGGTCATAACAGTAAAATGAATGGAACAAATGAAAATCACTAGAGCATAGTCAAATGATGAGTATTCGCTTCCAAAAAATGATACTACGTCCTGCAAGTTACAGCCTTTCATCAAAGAGTTCCCAGGATGCTAATGAAAATTAGTACCATTATCCTTGCTGCGTTAGGACCTTTAGCCTTAATATGTATTTTTTAAGTATGGTATTTAAGAGAAAGTAGTTTTCATCTTACTTTTATAACTTTGGTATAAAGGAGTCAAAGCGAAGTTACAGAAAATGTGAGATCGAAGAGGAGCATAGTCATTGGCTGAGAAAGAATTGAATAAGCGTGACTCTTGATCAGGCCAGCTGAGTGTCCCTTTTTTTTAATTAAATTTTTTTTTATTGAAGTGTAATCAGTTTACAATGCTGTGTCAGTTTCTGGTGTACAGCATAATAGTTCAGTTATACATACCTGACATAAATCTTAGCAATGTTCTCCTAGGGCAGTCTACCCAAAGAATAGAAATAAAAACAAAAATAAACAAATGGGACCTAATTAAACTTACAAGCTTTTGCACAGCAAAGGAAACCATAAGCAAAACAAAACAACCACCTAAGGAGTGGGAGAAAATATTTGAGTGTCCCTTTGATTGTGAATGGTCCTTCAGCTAATGGCGAACTGTAATAGGATGAGAGATCCTCTTGTGGACAACGGTAGCGGGGGACAAAATTTTAAGTCAATGGCACAGGGTACTTGCTTTTATTATTGTTTTGGCATCCATTTAAGTCAACTGGTAGTTAAAAAAATCAGTGGTCCTCAGCTGGCCTCATGTAATAGCAATGGTAGAGACATTGTAGACTTTTATTATTTTAAAGGAAAACATTAGCACTCATTTTAAGTAGAAGGAAAAGCTGTGCCATGGTTATTAGCCCTCCCTAGGACTATTAATGCTGGGCATTTATTATATGGAAGGTCATTATGGGATTAAGTAATTGCTACTTAATAACTATTCTACGAATGAGTGTATGAGTTCCCTTTTGGTGCTGTTACAGGTTGAATTGAGTCCCCCTAAATTCATAAATTGTAGCCCTAACCCTCAATGTGACTATATTTGGAGAGAGGGTTAGACGAGGTTATAAGAGTGGGACCTAATCTGATAGGATCAGTGTCCTTATCAGAAGAGGAGGAGACTCAGAATTCCCCGCAGACACACGGGGGGTGGGCGGATGTCACGGGTGGACACGGTGAGAAAGCAGCCCTCTGCAAGTCAGGAAGAGAGCCCGCACCAGCAAACATCCCTGACAGCACCGTGATCCTGGACTTCCAGCCCCCAGAACTGTAAGAAAGCAAATTTCTGTTGTTTAAAACCCCCCGGCTGTGGTATTTGGCAGCTTGAGGAGACTGATAGAATTGCTGAATGAGCCTCTCCAAATTTTACTGGCTCCAAACAGCCATAATGCTCTTTGCTTGCAATTCCAAGAGCTGGGAATCTGTGTACAGTGTGGCAGGGAGAGCTCCTCTGTGCCTCCTGTGGTGTGGAACCGGGCAGACCAGCTGCGCGAGGACCTCAGCGACCTCGCGCGCACGCTGAAGCCCAGGTGCTGGCTGTTGGCCGGAGAGCCACAGTCTTCCTCCATGGGACCTTTCTCTTCTCCTCTATTTCTAATTCTCCAGTGATGGGCTGGCCTAGACTTTGTTACACGGCAGACAAGTTGTCTTCTTGTGAAAGAAGGGTCTGTAAACCCTTTTAAAAGCCTAGATTCAGAACTCCTAGAATGTCACATTCTCCATTTTCTGTGGGTCCAAACAATCATCCCAAATGGTATGCAACTCCTGGGAGACTTTGTGCCTGGTAAAATGAAACAGAACATGACCAAGGATGAACCCTCTTCTTCTTCCAATAATTTCAACTGATTGTAGACTATACTAGACTTGAAAAGACCAGCCTAGGTTACTGAGGAATTGAAATAACATAAAGAAGAAAAGAAACAGAGTAAAGAACATGGTCGTCAAATTGACTATTACTCTTTCATAGCAAAGGCTAAAATTGATCTGTTTTATGTTGTGTGATCTCAAGTTTTTCTCAATATGTAAGATAGTTAATGGCTTACATGTATAAGGAAACAACATAAGAATTGAAAGACTATATTAATTTACAAAATGAATAATTATCTATTAAATGCTTACTGCCTACTGTGTGACAATCTGCTGGACACTGGAAATACCAGAATAAACTAAGCCCTCAGCTTTGTTATCCCTAAGAAAGATCCTAACAGAGCTGTCACTGCTAGTGGTTAGGTAACCAGCAAACAGTTACAAATTAAATCATGTAAAAAAAAACATAAAAGGAGATAAAGTGATAGGGAGGCAATAAAGTAGGTTAAAGCTGTCGGAAAAGATAAAATTTGAACGTCTGAAGGTAACAGGGGAGTCAGACCCGCAATACTGGAGAAAAGGACCTTCGGAAGGGGTGCTCTGGAATGTTCTAGCAAGGATGGTTGAAACACCCTGTGGGAAGATGGAATTGGGAGGTATCCAGGAGCCAGACACACAGAATGTTTCAAGCTACCGGAAGGCTCTGACTTTTATTCTACGTGTGATTAGGAGTTGCTTCAGTTTTGAGAAGGCTGTCTGAATGCAGTGTGGAAAAAAACCTGTAGAAACGTGGATTGAACACAGAACCCATCAGGAAGCTATTTCAAGGAATTGGGTGATAATCTAGATCAGCCCGGGGTGGAGCTTGTGAGCCTACAGGGAGCTGCACAGATCCACGACATAACTAGAAATAGAATAGATCTACTCTTAGACAGGAGGTTGGGTCTAAGGAAATAAATCGTCCAAAATAACTTGAATTGCTTTGGCCTAAGCAACTCAGTGACAAGTAAGAGCTGTTTCTTTAATTGGAATAATGGAAAAAGAGCAAGTTTCTGTATAAAGGAACCAAGGGTTTTGTTTATCCGTGGAAGCAGCTAACACCGTATCGGTCACACATTGCAGTAGATGCTCAATGTGGTATCTTCTTTCCCTCCTTTCTAACTTTTTTTTCTTACAACATCATGAAGAGTATCCTAAAAAAAAAAAAAAGAAAGAAATAAAAGAAAACAGAAGGCAGAAAAGAGCCAAGCTGTGACTTGATAGCAAAACAGAGCGGTCTAGCTAGAAATTTTCATATATTCAAAGGGAATGTGAAATCAGTAGATTGTGTTGTTTCCTGGGCAACACACTGCTATCCACTCAGTTTTATACCAGTTTGGTTTCGGCTGCGTGAACTGAACTAAAAAAATCCCTAAAACTGCTGCTAAGGTTAATGTCTCATTACAACCACTACACATGTACACAGAATTTCAGAAAATAATTTGTCATATTACATTGATGACTATAGAGTTTAACAAATTATTTAGAATTTAGTGCCATGGTTTAATTATGCAGCTGTATTTTTTTTCCAAAGAAAATCTCATTGTCAGCTGTAACTATGACGTTTCTGTTAGTAAATTCAAATTTAAAAGTTAGTTAAAACATGCACAAATTCTGTTATTTACTTTCATACAGTGCTTTAATAGTTTAAAATCATTATTTAAGTAATAAAAGCTACATAAACTTTCTATATTGGAGTAATATAGAACATATAAAATATATTTTCTGAGTTTCTAATAATATAGAGGTAAAGGAGACAATGGAGACAAATATTCTGGGGTGAGTGGACTGAGTGAGCAGAAGAGATTCCTCTTGACTGACTAATTAGCTTATTTTGGCAAAATATATAACCATCACAGTATGTGCAGTTTTGAAGTCCTTTGACGGAGAAACAAACTTCTAGGGGTTATTTCGAATTGAATAATGAACAAGCTATTTAAACGCTTATGTAGATATTTACATAGAAGGTCATTTTATCTTTTTATATCTATTTGTTCATTTTCCCGCAAATCACGTGTCAGTTATTTCAACATATAAATTATATGATTTAAAATAATTTGTGTATCATATTTTAAAAATTTAATAATTAGCATATTAAAATAATAGTCTGTTTGACTGACATCTTTCTTATTTTGTTGCCCTTATAGCAAATATTCTCCTTGGTATTATCTTTATTTGTTGCCTAAAGGAACAATTAAATAAGGCAAACATCTTACTACTAATTTACTAGTGGGCTAAAAGCCTTCTTGTCCGGTGTATCCACTCAAACTGGACCATCTTGGCAATGGTATTGGCTTCCTTCGCTGGCCGAGTCCATAGTGACTTTAATGGTGGGGTTCCCCAGTTCAGAGTGATCATGTGCTGTTATTCATGGAGCAGTGGTTCATTCAACAAGCACTTTTGAGTCACTATGAATATGGTAGACATTTCGGTAAATATTTACTGAATGAATGAACGAGTTGAGGGAATCTGGCTTGGGACTATGGCTTGAGCAGAATTTTCCTCTGACTTTTTACTTTGGAATAATTTTAGATTTACAGAAAAATTACAAAGATAGTAGAGAATGTTCCCATATAACCCATCATTCAAGTTCCCCTAATTTAACGTCTTTCATAACTGTAATTTTTACATATTGTATTTGTCAAAGTTGAGAATTTAGCAGTGAAACTAACCTAGTAACTACAGACTTTCTGCTTTGGAATTTCATCATTTTCCCCACTCATTTCTATATCCCAGGATCCAATCTTATATTTAATCCTCATATCCACTTGTATCTTTCTACCTATGACAATTTTTGAGCTAACTTACACATCTATGTCCAAAAGAGTTGCATGTATAGCATTTCTAATATATTTTATGCAGAAAGGAAAGTTGTTTCATTTATTTATCAATTCACTGAACACTTACTCAGTGTCTATCACAATACGCTGTTCTTGGCACAGTCACGTAAACATGGATAGAATATTCTTATCCTAGAGAGCCGCATAACCTACTGGGAGCAGATAATCCCAGCAATGACGTATGTGTTGTAACAGAGAAATTGGGAAGACGCAAGGGGAAGAATCTGACTCTGACAGGAAACCCAGATCAGGTCTTCAAGGAGTCTGAGTGAGATTTCTGCATGTACATAGGAGTGTCCAGACAGGGAACAGCATGTGCAAAGGCACAGAGGTGAGGCGCACAGCACAACTACCACAAGACAGGCATGTGGAGTGAGACAGTGAGTGACGAGACAGTAAGATGGCCAGCATGATCAGATCCTGAAGGACTAGTCTCTTCTGGTACAAACAGACCAGTTTCATACATGAGCAATGAGGACTACTGAATTTTTTTCAACAAAGCCTGTAAAACCTTTTCCTTGTATTATGTGCAGAGAGTCTCATAAGATCATTAGATCATCCTGAAGAGTTATTCCTGTCTATTAGATTTTTCTTCAAAACACTGTGTTTTTCTAAAATACTGACTTTTTTTCTTAATGTTTAATGAGAATTAGGAAAGACTTTGGGACTAAGGCTATCATTCATAAACAGTTTTAAAAATTCTCTCTCCCCATAAGCAAATGTTAGTAATAACCAATGAAAACATAATTACATTTCACCTCCATTGTGCAAACTTCCTATATTTTTCTTTACAAGTAAGAAATATAGTGGGACACTAAAAGCAAAGGCAATAAAAGCAAAAACAAACAATTGCAACTACATCAAACTAAAAACTGCTTCTACACAATGAAGGGTATCATCAACAGGACGACAGGCAACCTCCTGAATCAGAGAAAATATTTGCAGATTATATGTCTGATAAGTTGGTTAGCACCCAAAATATATAAAGAACTCATACAATTCAATAGAAAAAGAAAAGAAAAAACAAAAGATGGCCAGACGACCTGAGTGGATATTTTTCCAAAGACAACGTAGAGATGGCCAACAGGCACGTGGAAAGATGCTCAACATCGACTCATCAACAGGGAAATGCAAATCAAAACCACAATGAGATATCACCTCACCCCTGTAAAAATGGGTATGGTCAAAAAGATGAGAAGTAAATTTTGGCAAGAATGTAGAGAAAAGGGAACCATAGGGCACTGTTAGAATATAAATTGGTGCAGCCACAATGGAAACAGTATGGAGGTTCCTCAAAAAATTAAAAATAAAACTACCATTCAATCCAGCAATTCCACTTCTGGGTATTTATCCAAAGGAAATGAAAACACTGACTCAAAAAGATGTCTGTGTCCCCATGTTCATTGTGGCATTATTAACAGTAGCCAAGACATGAAAGTACCAAAGGTGCTTATTGATAGATAAATGGATAAAGAAGATGTGGTACACATATCAATGGAATATTATTCAGCCATTAAAAGGAGGAAATCTTGTCATTTGTGACAACATGGATGGATCTTGAGGGCATTGTGCTAAGTGAAATATGTCAGACAGAAAAAGACAAATAGTGTATGATCTCACTTTTATGTAGAATATTTAAAAAAAAGTCCATAGATTCAGGGAACAGATTGATGGTTGCCAGAGTGGGACATGGATGGGTGGGTGAAATGGCTACAGAGGGTCAAAAGATACAGACTTCCAGTTATGGAATAAATAAGTCCTGGGGATGTAATGTACAGCACAATGACTGTGGTTAAATTGTCATCATGAGAAAAAAAATCGTTAATTACTTGTGATGGTTATTAACTAGACATATTGTGGTAATCATTTCTCAATATACACAAATATCCAATCCTTATGTAGTACATCTGAAACTAATGTTACATGTCAATTATATCTCCATAAAAAGTACAATGAATGTAGACAGGCTGAGGACCATATAGAGATACAAAGGATGTTGCAAAAACCTGGAACTGATTTTTGAATGTGGAAAAAGGCGTGACTTTTATAAAAGGATTAACATTTTAAAATCCCAAACAGTATAAAGGTTTGTTGAAATCTCCAAGTCAAGCACCAAAGGAAGGGATTTTACTCTGAATTTATACAAGGTGCAAAGGACATAAGTATACATTTTCAAGCAAGGCTGTGCTGGGTTTTTTGTCTGTGTGTTAGAAGCCAGTGTTGTTTAGACCTTGCCCCTCAGTCACGCGCATCCCCTGGGAGCTACTGACTCAGGACCTGCGTCTGTAACAGAATCCCCTGTGGTTTATGTGCACATCCAGGTTTTAGGAGCACTCATTTAAGACTGTTTATTAGATTTTAAATTTTCATGAAGAAGTACGCAATGCCAAAAATAAAATCACAGCTATAATTTATTTTTACAAGAAGAAAACCTGTCAAGACAAGGGGCATGGTAAAATTCTTCTAGAAAGGAAAGAACATTGCTTATGACTATCGATTTTTTTAAAAATACGCATTTTATTTTTACCTAAGAGCATGTAGGGGACATTTGTCCAATGGGAAAGTTGTTTTTAAGCATCTCTAAATGTCACTTCATTGTATTTCACTCCTTCTGATTATGTCTTTTTAATAACAGAATGAAATGTATTATATCAATCTTCCAAGAAAGTTTTAGGTCTAAAACTTTAGATGCTGAATTCTTTAACCTATCACTTAAGTATCTGGTTTATGTTAAGTTTAAACATGATTTTTTAAAAATTCTGAATTTCTTGGGGACTTAATTATGATATCATAACATTCTACGTGATTTCTGCAGGAGCTACAATTCCCTATGTTTTAAGCAAAATTTTAATAAATGAAAGTTAGAAATTGTTTACGTGTCATAGGACCTATGTCCTTTATCTAATTATTTCTCTATATATTTAAAAGTGTCTACTTATGGCTTGTTATATACCACACTGCTATTAGGGCTATAGCGATTTTTGCTTTCAGGAAATTTACATCAGTATCTGGGACGCTTGCTCATGAGTCATTCTGATTCGGTTCTCTGTGGTTGTTAATCTAAGACAGGGGTCAGTAGTCTTCTTCTGTGAAGGCCAGATAGTTGATATTTTAGATTTTGTGGCACATATGGTCTCTTACCTACTCAACTTTGCCCTCGGAGCATAAAAGCAGTCACAGCCAGTCCACAGACAAGTGAGCATGGATGTGCCCCAGTTAAACTTCACAGATACTGAAAGTTCCATTTCATATGATTCAGTATTTTTTTTTAATTTTCAACCACTTAAAAAGTGCAAAAGTTTATAACTGTATATAAAACAGATAAACAACAAGGACTTACTGTATAGCACAGGGAGCTGTATTCAGTACCTTGTAATAACCTATAATGGAAAAGAATCTGAAAAACAATATGTATGTATGTGTGTAAGTGAATCACTTTGCGGTATACCTAAAACTAATATTGTAAATCAACTACACTTCAATAACAGATAACATTTAAGAAAAAAAGTCTGAAAGTTGTTCTCAGCTCATGGGCTGTTACAGCCAGTGGGCTGGATCCGGCCACGGGCTGTGGTTTGCCGACTTCTGATGGGAGACATTGAGTGTACGTATGAAGGTGTATTGAGGGTGACTCACTGATGGACTCCATAGGAACCAGATGGGTTCTGGTATCTTAACCATGACATGAGCTTTATGTTCTTGCTGAATTTAGATGAAAACCAGAGACTGAAAGAGAAAGAGAAGCAAAGAGAAAAAAATCATTTTGAATCTACTAGGTACTAAACACGTTTATAAAACGTCAGCCTTTTATATTTTCATCTTGTTTGAACTTCACCACACCTCAGTGAATCTAAAAAAAAAGACACGAATGTATTTGCAAAACAAAAACAGACTCTCAGACAGAACACAGACTTATGGTTACCAAGGGGAAAGGGGGTGGGAAGGCATAAATTTGGAGATTGAGAATTGCAGATACTAACTACTATATATAGAATAGATAAACAACAAGTTTCTACTGTATAGCACTGGAAATTATATTGAATATCTT